ATCCTTCTCTAAGGCCTACTTTTACTGAGAAATAATCTCCCTCTCTCCTACATACTCTAACCTGAGCCTCACTATCCTCGTAAAAACTCTTCACTGCTTTCAGTAACACCTGCAACATCTGACATATTGCTCCCCTATCCACCATATCATATGCCTTTTCCAAATCTATAAATGCCACAAAAAACCTCTACCCTTATCTAAATACGGTTCACCTATATACAACACTGCAAATACTTGATCCACACATTTCCTGAATCCTCCTTGTTCATCTGTTATCCTACTCTCCGTCTTACTCTTAATTCTTTCAATAATAACTCTACCATACACTTTACCAGGTATACTCAACGCACTTATTCCCCTATAATTTTTGTATTCTCTTTTGTCCCCTTTGCCTTTATACAAAGGAACTATGCATGCTCTCTACCAATCCTTAGGTACCTTACCCTCTTCCATACATTTATTGAATAATAACACCAACCACTCCAAAACTATATCCCCAGCTGCTTTTAACATTTCTGTCTGTATCCCATCAATCCCGGCTGCCTTACCCCCTTTCATTCTACTCACTGCCTCAAGAACTTACCCCACACTCACAATGGCTCTTCCTCACTCCTACAAGATGTTATTCCTCCTGTCTTCATCAACATTTAACAATTCCTCAAAATATTCCCTCCATCTTCCATCTGCCCTTGCTCATGCAGCAAGGACCTACATCAGGGACCTACCAGAAAACAAAACCGTTTTCAAACTAGACTTTAGAAATACCTTTAATATGGTGAAAGGAGATGTGATCTTGTCAGCTGTTCAGGGTCAGTTCCCCAGTGTTTTTCCCTTCAGTTCAGCTGGCTACAGCAAATCCTCACTTCTTTTGTTTGACGAACATGAAATACCCTCATCAGAGGGCGTTCAGCAGGGTGACCCACTCGCTCCATTTCTCTCCTGCTTGGCGGTGAGAGAACTGACTTCCAGCTTGCGCAGCGAGCTCAGTATCTGGTACCTGGATGATGGCACTCTGGTAGGTACAGAAGAATTCCTGCTAGAGGACTTACAACTGGTGAAGACACAGGGAGAAGCCTTAGAACTCATCCTCAAACCCTATAAGTGTGAAATCATCGCAACCTACAAGGAAATAATCACACCTGTATGAACAATCCTTCGTGAAGCCTCTACTACCACCCCGTCCAAGAACATTCTCTTGGGAGCACCGCTGGGTCATCAGGCAATCGACACAGTTCTCAAGGACAAATTGAATAACTTGAAGAGAATGGAGGAGAGAATAAGTAATCTTGATGCCCAATGCTTACTCTGCCAATACTTACCTGCAGTGTGCACCCTCTTTCGACAACCCAGCACTCGGCGAATATGGCTCACTCCTGAGATTTATCTTTAAGAAGGCACTGAATCTTTCACTGAAAGATCAGCAGTGGGATCAAGCAACTCTTCCACTGCGACTTGAAGGTATAGGGATGCGCAAGGCAACACAGGTAGCTTTACCTGTATTTCTGTCCTCGTGTATGGTTTCCAGTGAACTAGTTAAGGAGATTGTCCCCGAAAGCTTAAAAGGTGCGGTAGGAGCTCAAGACCCCAGATTCACTGAAGCAGCCGTGCTGTGGGACACCCTTGCGGACTCCTCCAGCAGACCAGGTCCTCCCAAAAAGCACGAACAGTCCCACTGAGACAAACCGATAATGGAAAAAAACTGCCAGCACAATGCTCAACAACGCTTGAGGAAAGGACAAAGCTCCTCTCCCAGCAGTGAAGGAACCACATTCAGGAGATTTCCAGTTTCTCCTTGGGCACTCGACTCGACCCACTACCCATTCGGATTGGTTTTGCTGTCAGCCTAGCCACCCCCACACTCACCAAACATAGGTCTATTTGCGGCAGGGCGTCGGCTGATCAATTCGAACTACATGGTCTCGGGTGTCATACATGAGAAGGGAAGTACGTTAGACATGAGGAGGTCAACGACATCATAAAGAGAAGTCTCACCACAGCCCGTTGCCTAGCGTGAGCTGGGCGCCAAGGTATTGGTCCAGCATGGTGCGGATGGTAAAGCACTGCGTACCTTGTTCCCAGGTTCGTAGGTTCGAGTCTCCTTCGGCCTAAGATCAGTGTTTGTGGATATATATATATATATATAATATATATATATATATATATATATATATATATATATATATATGGGGTCCACCACTGATACAAATTGTGGGACCCACAGCCTCGGAGAAGTGGATAAAAAGGCTTCAAGGAAGAATATTTGGATTTCTTCCTGAAGCCGTTTGAATATTCCACTTCCCCTACCACCCCATCTTTTCATTCTTTTTTTACCAAAACGTATATTTTAATTACATAACATGGTACAAAAGATTTAAGAGATACATTGTTAATATAAGGATGGCATATACAGTATATGAAGTGTGAGAGATACATGTCTAGTACATATTGTTACGTGTTTGTTACTGATTATAATGCGTAAATCTCATCCAGCTCCTCAGAGCTGGGGCGTGTTACCAAAATACAGCAGGCATTACCTCTCTGAACAGCAGCGCTGAGTCGCTGGAACAGAAAACTAGCTGCCCTGGGATCCCTAGTTACCCAGATGAGTCGTTTACCTTGCTCCTTGAGGAACTTAGATGCACTCTTTCCTCATGAGCCAAGGGTTTCTGAGCCTATGGGAACAAACATATAATGATGGGCAAGTTCTCCGTATTTGCTCGACTTTTGGGACTCCCTGAAGCTGGAAGCTGCCCCTCCTTCCTCCCTGGTGTATTGGAGATAGGTCTCAGCCAAGGTAGATGCACATATGTAGTCCCACACCACCTGCTTGCCGTCTGTCCAGGCTTGAAGGGTGATATTATCTGGATGCTTTTGACTGCCATCAGATCTGCATAGTTGGGGTGGCTCCCTTACTGCTGGGCATCCGGCTATTGTGAGGCTCCTCTTAATGTTATTAACCTTTTCATGTCTTGCAATCTTTCCCTCGGATTTACGGCACACAAGACCATGGTACCCGAATCGGTCTGCTGCTTCACTGCCACAAATACACCCGTGTTCGGCGAGAATAGGGGTGGCAAGTCGAAGGGCAGCACTAATGCGGATGGTCTGTGGGTGAAGGCGTGTGCCAAGGCTGGAACTGGGAACAGCCAACAGAAAGTCTCCTGCATGAGGAGCTCTCACTGCCAGGAGGAAGGCTCTATCCTTCCCTGACACACTCTGAAGCATTGTTGAAGCTCTTTTCTCCACTATTGGACCATCCCAGTGCGACTGTTTGTAGTTGTTGTGGGGAGCAGGTCTGGTTTTAGAGTCCATTAGATTATTCCAGATCATGGCTCCGTCAATGAACTTTTGAACCTGGCCTCCGCTCTTGTCCCTAAGATGTTCAGGGAGAATCGCTGCTACAAGCCCTCTGGATGCAACGCATGAGGACAGGAAAGCAAGTAGCGCAGTCTGTGATGACTTGCGGACACCAATGCCTCCTAGTCTGACTGGAAGTGTAGCTTGGTTCCACTGCCCGTCTTCTAGAGTAAGGTTAAGTACTTTAGCAAAAATCTGCCTCAGTATAGGGTTATCATATGAAGGTGCACATCTTAGGAAATATGTCAACCTGGTCAGACTCAAGTACTTTGTGAGAAGGTACAAGGCATCGTGGGTGTCAAGACTGCTTATCCGTTGTTCCATTAGATTATTCCAGATCATGGCTCCGTCAATGAACTTTTGGACCTGGCCTCCGCTCTTGTCCCTAAGATGTTCAGGGAGAATCGCTGCTACAAGCCCTCTGGATGCAACGCATGAGGACAGGAAAGCAAGTAGCGCAATCTGTGATGACTTGCGGTCACCAATGCCTCCTAGTCTGACTGGAAGTGTAGCTTGGTTCCACTGCCCGTCTTCTAGAGTAAGGTTAAGTACTTTAGCAAAAATCTGCCTCAGTATAGGGTTATCATATGAAGGTGCACATCTTAGGAAATATGTCAACCTGGTCAGACTCAAGTACTTTGTGAGAAGGTACAAGGCATCGTGGGTGTCAAGACTGCTTATCCGTTGTTCTATTCTCCTCATCTCTTCCAGTTTCTTCCTGAGAATTGTGTCAATGGAGTCGCTTCCCAGAGGTGCTCCAAGCAAGATACTATTTGTAGGGGCAATGACTGATGCTCCTGGTAGTTTGGATCTCACTGTATTTATCACTTGTTGATTGACTGAGATGATTTCACATTTGGATGGATTCGGGATGAGACCCATTTCCTGTCCTCGTGTCATCACCGGTGTAAGATCATCTAGGAGGGACTCCTTTGTACCTGCTATTGTGCCATCATCCAGGAACCAGATGTTTAGCTCACTGGTCAGTCTGACTGTGATTCCTCTAACCGCTATACAGAAGAGAAATGGTGCAAGAGGAAAAGTGTGAAAAAACACAAAACATCCAGTGAGTGGCAGTTCTGTGGGCGACAACGCCTTGAAAAGGAGAAAAGTCGGAGGAGAATGACCAGACGGATTCAAGCTGACAGGAAGGCAACAGTAACTCAAATATCCACACGTTACAAAAGTGCTATGCAGAAAAACATCTCTGAACACACAAGTAGAACCTTCAAATGTATGGACTAAAGCAACAAAAAAAAAAAGACACTGGGTTATACTCCTGTTAGCTAAGAACAGGAAGCTGAGGTTGCAGTGAGCACAGGCTCTAAAACCAGATAGTTAAAGATCGGGAAAACGTCACATGGTCTTTCGAATTGCAATTTCTGCTGCAAAATACAGATGGTAGGGTTAAAATTTGGCGTAAACCTCCGGAATGTAGAAGAACAGGAGAGTCTGAGCAGGAATGTACAACCGACATATCTGCAGCAGTTGTGTGATGCTATCATGTTAACATGGACCAGGATCTTCATGGAATTTTTCCAGCACCTTGTTGAATCAGTGCCACGAAGAATTTCGGCTGTTTTGGGGTAAAGGTTGGCCCTACCCAGTACTAGAAGAGTGTACCTAATAAAGTGGCCACTTAGTGAATATGTGCATGTGTGTGTTTAACGCTATTAACATAATGTTATGTTAATATATTTACCTGTTGTCGTTTATCCAAGAAAGGCTTCCACAGCGCCAGAGCAGTCAGGAGGCAGCACTCTCTTACCTGATGCTGGCGTTCACGAAGGTTTCCTGCTCCTCCACCGTCAGGTAGCAGAAGGCGCCGCCCAGGTCCAGCCAGTTGTGCCCTGGACACAAGCCATTCACGGGAGGCTCCGGTGTCGGCGCCATTCCTGCCGGCACACGTTGAAATCATTGTAAAAGCTAAAAATATATTGTGTGATATAAACTGAGGCATGTGTCAGTATCCGCAGATTATCTGTTGTCTGTTTATATGTTGTGTGATATTAATTAAGACACACAACAACACCTGGGTATGTTTACTGGTGAGATGTTACTCCAACCATTGATGGCAACCAGCGAGGAAGGATCCGCAGTGTTGTACTCCACAGCTTCTGCGGATCACTCCACATGATTAGGTATTTGGATAAGACTGAAATGTCCTGGTTATGTTAATGAATTTTGGTCTACAATGTAATGAAGTATATTTAGGCAAAGGTACACATATACAATGTCAGACAAAGTGACTTATTTCCACTGGGATACTCAATATTTTCATTGGGGATCCAATGAGATTTCGGTGACTTGCAACGCCTCCGTCCTAGTGTGCTATCCTAGGTACTTTACACATATGCTGCAATGTATGATAATCTATGTAACTGTATTTGCGTATACCTGAATGAAGTTACTAACTTGTGAGTGATCATTTATAATACAATCTGAAAACTGGCACGCGAGATACATAAAATATGCTACATCCGCCAACGAATAGGAAAAGCATACTTCAACTCTTTGCTAGCAACAGCTAGCAGATGCTCTAGGCTAGGCAACTTTTATGAGAAGATTGAGTGACTCATTAGAAGAACATGTAGTAAGGGGAAAAAATGGACACATACCATCCTCATGTTTGCAGATAAATGGTCTGAGCTGGTCACATTTTTCACTGAGCCAGAGGCCGGTGTTAGAGTCAAGCCTGACACAATTGTGGTCGCTCAGGCTAGTGTTAGGCTGCTCGTGTCCCCAGTTGGTGTACGTGGTAGGCCAGCCGTCACTCCACACAAACTGATGCTCCTCCTAAATAATAATAATAATAATAATAATAATAATAATAATAATAATAGTAATAATAATAATAATAATAATAATAATAATAATAATAATATCTCAAAAAGTACCTCAAGGATGCTTCCAGGAGTCAACGCTCCAGCAGCGTCGTTCCAGACCAGACCTCCTGGCAGATCGGAGCCTAAACAACCTGGCTGTTACTGCTGGCCTCACTCAGTCCAACGTGCTAACTTAAGCCTAGCTGGTCAGGAACTGATCTGAGGACCTTGTCAAGTTCCCTCTTGAGGTTATATAATTTAAGGTTGTTAAAGAGTCTTGGTGGCCTTACACTTATTTTGTGGTCTATAAGTGTATTCATAACATCCTGCTTGTCATTTGGTTTTGTAGAGTGAATTCTACGTAAAGATTTGGCACCAATCCCTCTAGGATTTTCGAAAGATAATAGTGAGGTATATCTCCCACCTTTGTTCTAAGGAGTAAAGGTCAAGAGACTTTAGATCTCCCCAGTAATTTAGTTACTTGACTGAACTTATACGAGCAGAGAAGGTTCTCTGTACATTCACTAGATCTGTAATTCGCTTGCCTTAAAAGGATGTTGTTAGCTCACCGCAATATTCCAGCCTAGAGAAAACAAGTGATTTCAATGGACCATCACTGGCTTGGTATCCATTACTTGGTAGGTCTGTCATTTTCCTCGCGGTTGTGATAATGGCACTGTTGTGATCCTTGAACGTGCAGTCATATGACATTATAACTCCTAAGTCCAAAGTCCTCCACGATGTTTTTCGCTTTATTTAGAGGTTAGAATTAGTTTTATAGTCCGTTACAGTTTTTATTTCCTCAGTTTTTCCAGAGCTGGATAACTGAAATTAGACCTCAATGAATACGGACGGATAGTTAAACACTGAGGTGAGGGAGATGAGATGCTAAGTGCAAATATGAGGAAGCTGACACACACAATGTTCTCCATTTTCTTTATATATTGAATTGCTGAGCTTTAAATGTTCTGATGGAAACATCCGACTCTAATGTAAATATTATTCTGGTCCATCACGTTTCCTGATTCAATGCACTTAATGGCAAATGCAGCATCATGGTAAAACACATGGTTGGGAAAGCATAAAGATGCATTAACATCAGAGAAATGATAAATTCACTGTAACCTGAGCGAAGTGCAGCTTTTTACCACTTTGCAGCCTCACTGGACGCGATTCAACGACAGATATGGTCAGGCTTTTAAGGCCTGGAAAATGTCTTTTACATTTATCACAGGAACGATGGTTGTTGTAAGAAATCATATATTCGAAAACACTGAACATAACACAGAGGTTCCAAGCTGAAAAAGTGTTTGTCATCAGTGCGTCTCAATGTGTTGTACCAACATATTCAGAAACAGATGTACAAGGCAAGAGCGTGCTACACCACCACATCAAGAACTCAGACTATGTCTGAGTTCCTGGAGGAGAGAACATAATAACCTCTTTCAAGAATGGCTCTTAATTCCAGGGGTTGCAACGATGTGTCTGGAGTTCATTAAATGCAGATGCAAGAAAACATGTTCCATTGCATTACATTACTAAACTCTACAGATGTCACTTTTGTAGTTCAAAAAATATAGTTTCACGCACCACTGATGATTTACCTTTAATGTTTCTTGAGGGCTTAATGCGCACGTAGTTGCTATTTTCGATTTCAGTGACCAGTTGTTGATTTTAGGCGCCATACTCAGACGTGTACACGGGAATGCATTAATCACTGTGGTAGCTCATAGTATTTAAGACTATTTGTAAATTTTTTGCACACGAAGGAGTATTTTTTTTAGTGAGTGATTATTGACTTTATGCCCTATGCACCCTAGTCTGGTACCATTACTTGAACCATCAATGATTCTGCAATACACACTGGCTTTTCTCATCTCTTTTTTGATTATTATATTTTGCAAGTATCGCGGAAAGCCCGGCAGATTTAAACCAGTGATATAATCTTCTGTTACGCTACAACTTTCTGCTGTAATGAGCGTTGTTGCTTCACTTACACGAGGTTTGATAATATAACACAATCATTTCTTTTTCCACCCACAGACGAAAATAGACTCACCAAGTGCGTCCAACAGACGCCGTCCTGCATCACACATTGGAGGAAATAACATTCATTCCTCTCATTTACTCTACACATACACTCAGTGGCCACTTTATTAGGTACACATGTACACCTGTCCATTAATGCACATATATAATCAGCTAATCACGTGGCAGAACCTCAGTGCCTAAAACATGCAGACATTGTCAAAAGGTTCAGTTGTTATTCAGATCGGACATCAGACTGGGGAAGAAATGTGATCGAAGTGACTTTGACAGTGGAATGATTGTTGGTGTCAAACGGACGGGGAGTTTAAATATTTAAGAAGTTACTGATCTTCTGGGAATTTTCCGCACAACATTTCTTAGAGTACAATGAATGTTGTAAAAAACAGAAAACATCCAGTGAGCGGCAGTTCTGTTGGCAAAAATGCCTTGATAATGTGAGAGGTCAGAGGAGAACTGCCAGACTGGTCCATGCTGACAGGAAGGTGACATTAGCTCAAATAGCTAAATATTACAACAGAGGTATGCAGATACCTCAAGTTTTCCACATGTGAATAGTTGAAATTTCTCTTCATCGAACTTCATATTATTTTGAGTGGCCCATTTGAAGGTTTCGTTGATGTCCGCTTAGAGTCTTGCAGTGTCTTCGATGGAGGTCACTGTCATGGCAATTCGGGTGTCATCCACCAAGGAAGCTACGGAGCTATGGCTTACATCTTTATCTATGTCAGATATGAGGATGAGGAATAGGATGGGAGCGAGTACGGTGCCTTGTGGAACAGAGCTTCTCACCGTAGCCGCCTTGGACTTTACTCTGTTTACTACTACTCTTTGTGTTATATTTGTCAGGAAGTTACCAACTTTTCCTGTAGCTCGATCGTTAGCACACTCAGCTCACACACTGAAGTCCGGGGTTCGAAACCCCTCCGGTACCGATGGAAAACGTTAGGGACGTGTTTCCATAAGACACCTGCTGTCCCTGTTCACTCATCAGTATAAAATGGGTACCTGGGTGTTAGTGGACTGGTGTGGGTCACATCCTGGGACGAAAACTGACCTAATTTCCCCGAAATGCTCAGCATAAAAAGCGGCTTTCTATGTAGTAGTATGTCATTGATGTCAGCTATGGTTTGTATACCTTGTACATGTACTTGTAGTAAATAAAGATATTATTATTACATTATTATTATCACGCATTTTGTGTGCTATTACACCATGGTCACACTTGTCGAAAGCTTTTGCAAAGTCTGTGTATACTACATCTGTATTTTGTTTATCCTCTACAGCATCCAGGACCTTGTCATAGTGGTCCAGTAGCTGGGACAGGCAGGAGCGACCTGCTCTAAACCCGTGTTGCCCTGGGTTGTGTAGCTGATGGGTATCTAGGGGGTTGGCGATCTTGCTTCTTAGAGCCCTTTCAAAGATTTTTATGATATGGGATGTTAGTGCTATCGGTCTGTAATTCTTTGCAATTGCTTTACTGCCACCTTTATGGAATGGGGCAATGTCTGTTGCTTTTAGTGAGTGTGGGATGAACCCTGTGTCCATGCTCCTTCTCCATAGAATACTGAACGCACGTGACAGGGACTTCTTGCAATTCTTGATGAACACGGAGTTCCATGAGTCTAGGCCTGGGCAGAGTGCATGAGCATATCATTTATTGCCTTTTCAAAGTCTTGTGGTGTTAGGATAATATTCGCGATTTTTGAGATGACCAAATTTTGGGTCTCGTCCATAAAGAATTCATTTTGTTGTGATCTTAGTGCATTCATTTATGTTGTTATCTGAGTGTATTGGCTTTGATACGGTTATATTACGTATGAGATCGTCGTTGTCAGTGAAGATGAGGTGCAGAGATTTAATAGCTCGTGTGTGTGTGAATTTTCATCTGAGCTGCCTCCTGGGGTGATCTCTGATAAAATATTATTTGCTACACTCCTCCATTTTAGGTGTCTCAAGTTGAAATCTAGTAGCAAGATGTTTGGGGGAGGAGTTGGGAGATTTTCCAGACAGTGGTCAATTTTCATAAGCTGTTCCCAGAATTGCTGGGAAGTTGCATCTGGAGGCTTGTATACTACCACAATGACAAGGTTTTAGTCTTCAATCTTTACCCCCAAAACTTCAACTACATCATTTGAGGTGTTCAGTAGTTCTGAGCAAATGAGCGACTCTGTGACGTGCAAGCCAAGCAAGCTCCCCTTGTTACCTGTTTATAGGTTATAACCTGGGATCCATATTTCGTTGTCATAATGATCCTTTATGTGGGTCTCTGTGAATGCTGCAAATATTGCATTCGACTCCGTGAGTAGTCCTTTGATGTAAGGAATTTTGTTGTTTGTTGACGGCTTTAGACAAATGTTATATTGATAGAATTTAGGGGGGTTTTATTTGCTGGCTCTAATATCTGTTGTCCTGGAATGGAGGCCAATAACTGTGCCTCTGTTCCATAAGTGTTTTCAGTTGGTGTAAGATTTCTGTCATTTCTTGCCAGCCTTTTTTCCTTCCTGGCACTAAAAAACCTCTTTTTCTGGAGAGGTTATGGCTCCTCTCTTTTGCTTCCCATAATCTGGCTGGTCTGTGTCTTCTTGTCCTCTTTAGATGATGTGCCTGGCAGTATACGTTGTAGCATTTTCTTTCATGGAGTGATGAGTGACACATTTCGGGGTGGAATAAGTTACAGGAAGGGGAGTTGCATCCTCCTGTTGTCATGTGGGTGCAGATGCCCAAGGCATAGAATCTGCAGATGTTGGAATTTTGTATGCTAGGATTTTTTGTGGCTGCGTTTGCTGCTGGTGGAGTTTTTCTGTTTCCCCTCTACCTACCGCCACTGTATGGACATCAGTGCTTCCACCAGCTTTTACTGGTAATATGTCAACATTATTTTCTGAGGCATCATCGCCTTTTGTTCCATCTCCAGCAGTATCGCCATTTTGTACCTCTGTAAATTGAATAGCCTTGTCTTTACCTGTTTCATCACCAGGACCACTATCTCCCTTTGGTGCACTGTCCTCTTGGACAACACTAGCACCCTCTGGAGCACTGTCTTCCAAGACAGCCCCGTCCAACCCACCCATTTTATTTTCCCAGATGTCATACCGAGCAGACAAGTCTTTCAAGAAGGATATTTTATGGCTTGCAGAGGAAAAAGTCTTTTTGCCTACACATTAGACTTCTTCAGTCAAATATAAAGGGAGTAGTAGCAATGAGATGAAGACAGTGAAATCAGTCCATCAATCAATGGTTACTCTTTACTGTCATCCTTCCAGATCGAAAGGGAGGGTTCCCAAGAAATAAGAAAAAATTCATTACTAAACTTTTACAAGCATGGCAAATCACGACGAATAAAAACAGTCCTGCAAGCAATAAAATTCCTGTGAGAGAAACGTTAACTCAGTAAATATTTCTTATTTACATATTTTCCGAAATTAATATCATTGCTTACCACCATCTCTGAAGAATGAAGCACTCGTGCAACATTTTGAAAACCATATTGAGGAAACGTTTCGCCACACAGTGGTTTCATCAGTCCATACAAAGAAGAACGGTGGAAATCGAGGAAGAGTTTGAGGCAATCAATCTGCAACTTGTGGGTTTTCAAACCATTTATCACATCTGTCAGACACTGCAACATCGTGGGATCTTGATACAAGGAATTCTGCAATACTTGTCCAACCTTTGGACGAAGACCTACTTACACTAGTGGATGATTCCACTGTGATCCCGCCTCCTCCTGCTTCCACTCACCTGACTACAGTATATAAGTCACTTCTCGGGTCATATGCTGTACTTCAAGTTTGGTGGACTGAACACATTGATTCCAGGCTGAGGGACTGATTACCTCAAACTCCTAATCGATTTCCACCGTTCTTCTTTGCATTGGGCTGATGAAACCACTGTGTGGCGAAACGTTTCTGCAAACTACCAAACTACGGGTTGTGTTGGTGACACGGGTGTGCAAGGTTGACTGCTGGTCGTCTCGGCTCATTATTTTACCCATGGGAAGAGGTCATAAAGAGAAAACTGAATCTGGGCGATTACTGTCGAGTTGGCACGTCCTGAGAGGCGGATTTATTTCTCTCAAGGAATTTGGAAATCGGTCGAATCTTCAAATGAAATTAACTAAGGTGGAATAAAGCGGTATCGTCAGAAATTGATGAAGTTGACACCACATGTAATGTCTGCTTCCCAGTGTATTAATTCTCACTATAGGTATGTTAATTTATATTGTCCAATATGAGCTGCTTGCCAAAAGTGAGGCGTTAGGATATGACACCAAAATCTTAATTTGATGAGTAATGTTTAATGTCCTTTATATTTTAAATCGTGTAATTGATTAGTATGTATATAAAATTACCCGAGCAAATTACGCAGGTCATGTAATTGATATTATCGGATATATACACTATACATATAATTTGTTAGTGTTACAGGTATAACTTTTTCAGATAATTTTAAGAATTATATGGTGTAATAATTTAAGATCCAGACGTGTGACACATGAACTGTGACCTGGTCTTCTTTTTGATTATAATAATTGTGACCTGGTGACCTTAAAGACCCACTTGACTCTGAGGTACATCAATATCAGTTAAGTGTAAACTGTTTGATGTACCAAAGTTTCTTTATAATTATGGAGGTGAAATGTTAATTCAGAACACTGTAAAATTTACCCAAATAATTTCTCAGTTGCTTCAATTAAAATTTGTTAAAATATTGCACCACCATTTTGTAATGTTCACCTTGGCATACCTCCATTTTATCGGATGAGATTGATAGTTTCAGTGAATGATGCAGACATTAATATCTGCGAGACTTTGTATTGAGTAAAATGGGACTTATGTCACTCACCTGCAAGTTGTTGAAGCCAATCCATGGGTCGGTGGCTGGCTGGTTGAGGGACAACACCCACACCATGGCTCCCTGGGTCACTTGTTTCACTGACACAAGATGGCTACCTTCTTGTACACAGGCTGCCTCACTATCCTGGTGTATATAAAACAATGACAAACTTACAGGACTCTTATGTTACATAACCAGCCTCAACGTGGTCAACATTGCATAAAACTAACCCAACAAAATATATTTTAAATTCTTTTACAATAATTTAATACTGAACAGACACAATGAAATATATTTTTTTCGTTAGGTTCAGAATGATTTTGGCGAAATTATTGCATACACAAATTTTCGCTTGTCTTATATGGCAAGATGAGCGTTGCTATTTAAGCCAAGATCGCAAGTTCTGCCTATTCGGCACGACATATATATGTATATATAGATATATATATATATATATATATATATATATATATATATATATATATATATATATATATATATATATATATATATATATATATATATATATATATATATATATATATAATATATATATATATATATATATATATATATATATATATATATATATTCCCACCAAGGCAGGGTGGCCCGAAAAAGAAAAACTTTCACCATCATTCAGTCCATCACTGTCTTGCCAGAAGTGCACTTACACTACAGTTATTAAACTGCGACAAAGGAGCCAGTCATCCAATTAATTTTTGCTTATTTGTTTTCCGTCAGATTTCCTTCATTTTTAGTGCGCAAGAAGAAGTATTTTCTCTACTTACTGTAAATATTTGTCAATAAGATACCTCAAACAACAACTGAGAAAAGACAGAGAAAAGAACGATTTATTGAAAATGCCCTTTAGCGGGATGGTAGTCCTATATGGGACGACGTAAGGTTGTTTGGACACTTGGTGCCGAGACAACAATGTTAATTCGATTTTTTTATTAATTCCTTTCCTCTAAATAACTTATCTTTATTTCACAAAAATATAAAGTTTGTTATTTCTTGGAATGTTGTAAAAAATTCTGCCCTTTACTCCCACATAAATCCTAAAATATTTGGAATATTTCCAAAAAAGTTTTATTAGAAATTAGAGAAATCATTATTTTACAATTTCTGTGAATATTATTCCACTTAATTAAGTAATAAAAGCGTAGTAAAGCGAAATAAGTGAATAAGTTACTTCCGAGATATTGGCCTGGAGCGCCGGCCCGCCCGCCGTCTTGAAAAAGAAAAATTCGCGAAAATCGCGTTTGTTTAGGTGTATTTCTTAGTAAACTGATGTTCTAGTGCAATTATCCTCTTCAAAACACCGTTTTCTATCAATTCTGATAGATAAAAAACAAGGAAAAAATTCCAAAAAATATATGGGTTGTGAGCAGACGCGCTACCTACATCACCGTCACCATACCTGATATAAATGGCTATAATTTCTTGTAGAAACGTCGTAGAACATTTATTCTGGTACCATTGTGTTGCCAAGGAGTTATTTTTCTATATGAATGCCTCAATTTCCATAATTTTTCGATATTTTTTAAAAACTCTCAAATAATTGGATGATTGGCTCTTAACACCCCTCCTGTAGAGTGCACTGTTCCTCCCATCTCCAGGACTCAAGTCCGGCCTGCCGGTTTCCCTGAATCCCTTCACAAATATCCTGCTTACACTCCAACAGCACGTCAAGTCCTAAAAACCATTTGTTTCCATTCGCTCCAATCTAACACGCTCACGCATACTTGCTGGAAGTCCAAGCCCCTCGCATACAAAACCTCCTTTACCCTCTCCCTCCAACCTTTCCCAGGCCGACCTCTACCCCGCCTTTCTTCCACTACAGATTTTGTTCCACCCTTTCTACATGTCCGAACCATCTCAATAACCCCTCCTCAGCCCTCTTCCTTGAAGCCTTTTTACCACTTCTCCAAGGTTATAGGTCTCACAATTTACACCAGACGTGGACCCCATTATTTATATATATGTGTATATATATATATATATATATTATATATAATATATATATATATATATATATATATATATATATATAATATATATATATATATATATATATATATATATATATATATATATATATATATATATATTCCGTCAGAGACAGCAGCTGTAACCCAACTGAACTTCCTCCTTACTGATCGCCTTGTTTTGCTGATTTAACTGTACGGAAAGGTGCTACAGGTACCTGTGGTGGTAGCAGGTACCTGGGCACTAGTCAACTGTTGTGGCTGACATCCTGGGGACGTAGATCATACGACAATAATGGAAACTAGTCGCACCTTTGTTTTGGTGGAGATGTTATCCTTATTATTGACCCTTTGGTTATTAATGAGAATAAATCTTGTTCTTCTGCTACTCTGAGTTTCTTCTGACTGCTGATCTCCACTACTTAAAGAAGAAATTGTTGACGTATTTCGTGTACAATAATTCATATTACTATTATTATTTTAGTGTGGTGTTGCACCTGTTGCTTGCGACTTTTGTGTTGTCGTAGCTTTGTAAGGCAAGATAACTTCCTCTTATGACTTATAGCATTATATGTTATCTTCCAGTTTGACAGTTAACACTAACACTACTGTGCTTCACAGTACTAACACTACGGTGTTTCACAGTACTAACACTACAGTGTTCCACAGTACTAACACTACAGTGTTTCACAGTACTAACACTACAGTGTTCCACAGTACTAACACTACAGTGTTCCACAGTAATAACACTACAGTGTTCCACAGTACTAACACTACTGTGCTTCACAGTACTAAAACTACGGTGCTCCACAGTACTAACACTACAGTGTTCCACAGTACTAACACTACAGTGTTCCACAGTACTAACACTACAGTGTTCCACAGTACTAACACTACTGTGTTCACAGTACTAACACTACTGTGCTTCACAGTACTAACACTACTGGTGCTTCACAGTACAACTAACACTACGGTGCTTCACAGTACTAACACTACTGTGCTTCACAGTACTAACACTACTGTGCTTCACAGTACTAACACTACGGTGCTTCACAGTACTAACACTACTGTGCTTCACAGTACTAACACTACTGTGCTTCACAGTACTAACACTACTGCGCTTCACAGTACTAACACTACTGTGCTTCACAGTACTAACACTACTGTGCTTCACAGTACTAACACTACTGTGCTTCATAGTACTAACACTACTGTGCTTCATAGTACTAACACTACTGTGCTTCACAGTACTAACACTACTGTGCTTCACAGTACTAACACTACTGTGCTTTACAGTACTAACACTACTGTGCTTCACAGTACTAACACTACGGTGCTTCACAGTACTAACACTACTGTGCTTCACAGCACTAACACTACTGTGCTTTACAGTACTAACACTACTGTGCTTCACAGTACTAACACTACGGTGCTTCACAGTACTAACACTACTGTGTTTCACAGTACTAACACTACGGTGCTTCACAGTACTAACACTACTGTGCTTCACAGTACTAACACTACTGTGCTTCACAGTACTAACACTACTGTGCTTCACAGTACTAACACTACTGTGCTTCACAGTACTAACACTACTGTGCTTCACAGTACTAACACTACTGTGCTTCACAGTACTAACACTATGGTGCTTCACAATACTAACACTACTGTGTTTCACAGTACTAACACTACGGTGCTTCACAGTACTAACACTACTGTGCTTCACAGTACTAACACTACTGTGCTTCACAGTACTAACACTACGGTGCTTCACAGTACTAACACTACTGTGTTTCACAGTACTAACACTACGGTGCTTCACAGTACTAACACTACTGTGCTTCACAGTAACTAACACTACTGTGCTTCACAGTACTAACACTACGGTGCTTCACAGTACTAACACTACTGTGTTTCACAGTTACTAACACTACGGTGCTTCACAGTACTAACACTACTGTGCTTCACAGTACTAACACTACTGTGCTTCACAGTACTAACACTACTGTGCTTCACAGTACTAACACTACTGTGCTTCACAGTACTAACACTACTGTGCTTCACAGATACTAACACTACGGTGCTTCACAGTAACTAACACTACTGTGCTTCACAGTACTAACACTACTGTGCTTCACAGTACTAACACTACTGTGCTTCACAGTACTAACACTACGGTGCTTCACAGTACTAACACTACTAGTGTTTCACAGTACTAACACTACGGTGTTTCACAGTACTAACACTACTGTGCTTCACAGTACTAACACTACTGTGCTTCACAGTACTAAACACTACGGTGCTTCACAGTACTAACACTACTGTGTTTCACAGTACTAACACTACGGTGCTTCACAGTACTAACACTACTGTGCTTCACAGTACTAACACTACTGTGCTTCACAGTACTAACACTACTGTGCTTCACAGTACTAACACTACTGTGCTTCACAGTAACTAACACTACTGTGCTTCACAGTACTAACACTACGGTGCTTCACAGACTAACACTACTGTGTTTCACAGTACTAACACTACGGTGCTTCACAGTACTAACACTACTGTGCTTCACAGTACTAACACTACTGTGTTCCACAGTACTAACACTACTGTGCTTCACAGTACTAACACTACTGTGCTTCACAGTACTAACACTACTGTGCTTCACAGTACTAACACTACTGTGTTCCACAGTACACTAACACTACTGTGCTTCACAGTACTAACACTACTGTGTTCCACAGTACTAACACTACTGTGCTTCACAGTACTAACACTACGGTGCTTCACAGTACTAACACTACTGTGCTTCACAGTACTAACACTACGGTGCTTCACAGTACTAACACTACGGTGCTTCACAGTACTAACACTACTGTGCTTCACAGTACTAACACTACTGTGTTCCACAGTACTAACACTACTGTGCTTCACAGTACTAACACTACTGTGTTCCACAGTACTAACACTACTGTGCTTCACAGTACTAACACTACGGTGCTTCACAGTACTAACACTACTGTGCTTCACAATACTAACACTACGGTGCTTCACAGTACTAACACTACTGTGCTTCACAGTACTAACACTACTGTGCTTCACAGTACTAACACTACTGTGTTCCACAGTACTAACACTACTGTGTGTCGCAGTCAGTACTAACACTACAGTGTTTCACAGTCAGTACTAACACTACAGTGTATCACAGTCAGTACTAACACTACAGTGTTTCACTGTCAGCACCAACACTACAGTGTTTCACTGCACCAACACTACAGTGTTTCACTGTCAGCACCAACACTACAGTGTTTCACTGCACCAACACTACAGTGTTTCACTGTCAGCACCAACACTACAGTGTTTCACTGCACCAACACTACAGTGTTTCACTGCACCAACACTACAGTGTTTCACAGTACTAACACTACGGTGTTCACAGCTAACAATACCACATCATTGTTTCAACAAGAAAGAACAATGAAGGGATTCCAGGAGGCTATGTGCGAGAATTCCAGGAAACTCTACAAATGGAACCTGTATTCAAAGAGTAGTGAAACCTAAATACAAAATTAAATTGCAATGAGATTCCTAGAGTATGTAAATAAACATTTGGAGAAAGAGGACAATTATATTATTTAAAAATAACAAACACTGAAAGTTATAAACGTTGTAAAATGTTTAAAGAGTGATGGAATCGCCAGAAGAAGAGTGACATACCTGCCAGGTTGTGGGTGTGGGCTCTGCTCTGAAGCAGGCGCCGCTGTAGTTAACGTAGTTTTGGTAGGGCGAGGAGCACGCCTGCAGCGTGATAGGGTCCACACCTGCAGCAGAGACCATAGCTACAGTCAGTGACACTGTATTATGAAGGCAAGAAGGAATATACAGGTGTGTTATAAGATACAGTTCCTATTAGAATTAATATAAGTGAAAAAGAGTCCTGCTGAAGATATAACGTACAGACAGTATCTCGATACAGTCAAGTCTGAAGAGAGTCAACATTAAGATTGTCCTGGAAGAGAATTAAGCCAGACATACCAACTAATTATAAACTGTTTTTTGAACAGCTGGAAGCGTTGTTGAATGAGTTAAGGAAAACATCAGGTTTGCTCCAGATTTATAGTAACTTATCCAAGAAGATTTAAGTAACAGATAAAAATAAAATCCTGTAGAATATTATAAGTCACATGATATTTACATATCGCATCATGGAATATGGAAACATATCCTGTTTTCTAGCCATACGGGGGGGGGGGAGGTTAGATCCCCGGCCTCAGAGCGTAAGTTGACTGAACTAACGATCGAGCTACATGGCGTCAAATTTTATACCTAAATTGTGGATATATCAAAAGTATTCCTAAGAGTTGGCTTACTGGCGACTGATATGGGAGATTCACAATGAATCATAGTCTTATTAAGATCTATAAATTCAGAAACATCTTGCTTGGAGCTGCTTCCAGTCCATATTTACTTGAAGCTTCCACTAAACAAACCTGAAACATTAACAAAATCAATGCAAACACCACATAATAAACACTTTTATCTGGAAAATTTTCAAGGTGTGGTAACTTCAGAAATATACATTTGGCAATGGCATATAATGAGGCTTCTCAGAGAGTGGAGTAACAACTAACAATGGAGCTCCTAAGCCTAGTAATATCCTGAGGGTTAACTTGATATATACTGAAACAGACACTTCAGGTCGTAAACCTGAGAATCACAGTAAGAGTAATAATCTGATAAAGCGTAGTTTATTCTTAGAAGTGTTTCAGTATTTTGGTCGACTGAGTCTTGTTTCTCCCCACAGAATCAGAGGAAAGAGTCTAGTTTACGATACATAGAGAAAAAGCAAGTCTGGGAGGTGATCTTGTCTTCAGATTCACACGACAGGTCAACGGAGATTTCCCAAGCCTATTTTGGGATTCATAAAACAAATTTTACTAGTACTATACCTAGACGTCCTCTCAAGAGAAGTTCCTTGACGCTGGTGAGGAGCTCTTGATCTAGGGAATTGGATCTGTGTTTCAGTTCCCTGAATTGATCCTGAATACTTTCCATCCCATCCCTCCACATGCGCTGTATAATCCCATGATTATAATAATAATAATAATATAGCTAGATATGATGTGGATTATAGCTTGCATATATTAACAGCGGCCTTCACCAAAGCTTATATAATTCCGGAGCCTATATGTGCACTTCAGAAGGCAGCACAATTCTGACTTCAAAGAACAATGCAGCACAGTTGATGAAGCGGACACTACACTAGTGAGAGTTGACTGCATTGCATGATGGAGCGAAGTCAGCAGTATGGAAGGTATTAAAAAATCGAATTTAGACCGCATTACAGTGGATAAGGAACAACAATAAAAAACGCTTGTATATGTTAGAAACAGAGTTGCAGAACTCAATCAGATACAAGATTATGTTTTCGGGGCAGAACACCAATTCTGTTCTATCACATCCGATGACCAAAAGCTCCAGCTGCAGGTCATCACTAAGACCCCCGTCAGACAACACTTGTCCTGTTTCCTGACAAACCTACTTAACCTAACCCAATATTCCTAGACAAGAAACTCTCAATAATTGGTTGTCTAGAGGCATAATATTTAAGAATTTTTCAAGCAATACACTATGGTTCACTGATGACCCTACAACCGGCAAAAGCAGAAAGTACATATACCTTCAGTATTTGCATTCGTAACAACGAACACAGAAGCATTATTACTGGACATAAATGGTACGAGGATTATCCACACTGCACAAATTTATCAGAGTTACAGATCCAGTATTCTCTTACAACAGTAGAAAAGAAATTGAATATGAATTTCTTGAATATTGAAATGTTTTGAGAAAGGATATAAATCTTACTCAAAACTTCTCATTTAGCAGAGTTTTGATTTGTATCTTGAAGCAGAGAAGATTCTAACACACAGGGGAATGAGCAATCATTCTTCACTAATGGAGACAACATCCACCTTGTTTCCTAAATATCTCTGGTTTATTGAATTACTTGAAAAAAGAAGCTTATGTGAAGGTATTGCATAAAGGCGCACAAAATTCTTTGTGTAACATGAGAACAGTTTCATTGGATCTCTCCAGATTCTCTGCGTCTAGCATCAATTCTCTGCGTCTAGCATCAATTCTCTGCGTCTAGCATCAATTTCTGCGTCTAGCATCAATTCCGCCAAACAACTGCAGCGGTGCATCATACCTTTTACCTAAGAGTCTGATGGAAATTCTACCATTATTACCAAATATGATGTTCAGTGAGGACAAATTTCAGTTACATACTTCGTTATAGAAAATGTGAGGAAATGATAGCCAGAACAGAGTAAAAAAAAATTCTAATCTCACAATAGAGAGAAAAAACAATGTGCAGGATCTCACCTTCAGTATCACAACAGTGTCATTATCAGATCTGCGAGGAATATGATAGGATGGAATGCCAAATCAGTGATAATCCTCTTTCAGTTATTTTTTTCTCTTTAGGCTGGAATATTTCTGTCCACTAACAGCCCTATTCAAGGCAGGCGAATATACAAATCCAGAGAATGTAGAGAGAACCTTCAATGCAGGTATTAGTTCAGTCAAGCACCTTAATTACTAGGAAGGATACATCATAAGCTGCGCCAGGAAAATCCTAAAGAGATTTGTCCCAAATCTGCACAAAGAAATCACTTCCTACGGAAGCAAAAGACTTGGCAGACAGTGCAACATCCCCCTAATGAAAAGCAGGAGTACCATTTGCACACAGAGACAACACAGTAGTATCAGGGGGCCCAAGACTGTTCAACAGCCTCCCATCATACATAATGAGAATTACCATTAGACCTCTCGCTGTCTTCAAGAGGAAACTAAACAGATTGCTAAAGTCAGTTCCTGATCACCCTGGCTGTGGTTTGTACGTTTGGACTGTTTCGTCCAGCGAGAGGCCTGGTCGAGGACTAAGTTGAGAGAGCGTTGACTGACAAACAACCTCCAGGTAGACTCCAGGAGGGTAAATCTTCTTGGAAGGATGTATCTTATGAACGATTGATAGATACTGTGAAACTCCGTTTGAGAAAGATTTTGGCTGTAAATGATATAGTGATTCAGAGTAGCTGTGGATATGAATACCTTGAAATGATGAATCTATTCATGGCGAAATGTTTCCTGTAATAAATGTCCAAACTGTGCCTAAATGAGAAAGACTTTGCTTTCACAAAGGGTCGACTTAGAAGAATTTCGCACAGTCGTCACAGAAGTCGAGGTAAGAATCAACAACGACCCTATATCAGTGACCAAATAGAAAACTTAGAAACATTAATCCGTCCCATCTGGTCACTGGCCGAAAAACTTAAGTGTAGAAGGTGCCAACTATAATGAACCTGGTAACTTAGGAAGAAGTTACGACAACATAAAAGGTAGCAGACCTGTAGTCGAAGAAATGGTGAGATGATCATCTCACTTTATAAAGAGAGAATCACTACAGTGCAACAACAGTGGAAATAGGTCACTGTGTCTGACTTTTTGGGGAGGGGTTATGCTATGTAATTTACACATGTCTGATAAATAATGTTACTTACTTAACATAGCCCATATGCCACTAGAGGACACAGTTATGATGAACAATGATTGCCCAAGATTGACGTAGCCTTCGGCCAAAATAATCACAATTCATCTAGACTGTGAGAGCATGGGAAGAACTAGAACAGTACTACTCGTAAACAACGAGTATTGATTCTTAGACCTATGGCCAAATTAGTGATGTCGGAAATGAGTTGTGCTGAACCTTAATCATTGCCAGAAGTAACCAATAAAGATCAACCTGTGTCCGTGAGTGAAAGCTGTTGTATTAGAGACTGTCTAGACAGCAGTAGTGCAGTTTAGCTAATCGAGATCAATTACCCAGACCCACTTAGAAATCCATTGAATGACATCCAGTGTCAAGAAAGTCATTTTCAAAATGAATTTATTATATACAATAACAAATATGTTTAGGAATAAGGATTCATTATTAAGGTCAGGTATGAACACATAAACACACGAAAATTCATATTATGAAGCTTTCACTAATGAGTTCAGATTTTAACACACTTCTACCACGTAGGGTGGCCCGTGGCCTGGTAGACAAAGTTCTCGTTTCACACTCTGAGTGTCTGTGGCTCGATTCCCGGTAAGGGTGGAAACACTGGGCGTGTTTCCTTACATCTGTTGTCCTGTTCACCTATCAAGCAAGCAGGTACCTGGGTGTTAATCGACTGGTGTGGGTCGCATCCTGGAGGACATGACTGAGGACCCCAGTAGAGATAAGACAAGACAGTCCTCGATGACGCACTAACTTTCTTGGGTTATCCTCGGAGTTTAAAAATACGAACGAGATCTAATCTCTTATGTTTAAAGCTTTAGCAGACCTTATCCTATTAACATAGTTAATTCTAATCCTTGTAGGGACCACGACATGTTAACACCACAGAAGAATCCTTCAAACACTTACTCTCTTGTTTTTTCTTGCAGACGTAACCACGGAGAGCATCACAGAGGTCGTCGTTCCACTGACCATTGGTAGCATAAACCTCAACACACACGTCCTGGCAGGCAAAATGGAAAACAAATGCAATCAGCTGATTTATGTAGGCTGACACGTGAGTGATCATCAATTTATCTTCATCCTTCTGGAGATCTTCGTTGTTAGTGATGCTTAACTAATAACTGTCCCTTCATTGGGGATGTCTTGATGCTGGCAAAGGGCTCTTGATTTCAGGGAAACTGACCTTACCTTCTTCAGATCAAACTTGTTTTTACCTCTTATTCGCCAAATGCTGTTCGACATTTATATTCCCATGACATTAAAAGCAGCAATCACAAATATCATGAACCCACAATGACGGAAATGACACATAAAAATCAATGAAAATAGGTCACTTTGACTTTTTGGGGGGTTATCCTAGATAATATACACATGCTACTATGTACGATAATTTATGTAACTGTATTTATGTGTACTTGTACAAGAATAAACTTACCAGTCCTGGGTGTCCGCTAGGCTCGCCGGGAGCCCAGTTGGTGTAGGTGACAGCAGTCTGATCTACCCAGTGGAAGCCGTTGGTGTTGCGTAGGCCAATCCACACGCTGGCGCCCACCATTCCAAGAGCTGCCGTCACGTAGGCTAAGCAACAACACAATCGTATTAGTAAAACTTTGACTAAAGTTATTCAAACGCAGCGTAACAGCAACAGTGAAGTTGAGTTGGACTACACGTACAAGTATCAGTAAAGACAGCAACAAGGACTACACGTACTAGTATCAGAAAAGACAGCAACAAGGACTACACGTACTAGTATCAGAAAAGACAGCAACAAGGACTACACGTACTAGTATCAGAAAAGACAGCAACAAGGACTACACGTACTAGTAAAGACAACAACAAGGACTACACGTACTAGTAAAGACAGCAACAAGGACTACACGTACAAGTATCAGAAAAGACAGCAACAAGGACTACACGTACTAGTTCACAAAGACAGCAACAAGGACTACACGTACTAGTATCAGTAAAGACAGCAACAAGGACTACACGTACTAGTATCAGTAAAGACAGCAACAAGGACTACACGTACTAGTATCAGAAAAGACAGCAACAAGGACTACACGTACTAGTATCAACAAAGACAGCAACAAGGACTACACGTACTAGTATCAGAAAAGACAGCAACAAGGACTACACGTACTAGTATCAGAAAAGACAGCAACAAGGACTACACGTACTAGTAAAGACAGCAACAAGGACTACACGTACTAGTATCAGAAAAGACAGCAACAAGGACTACACGTACTAGTATCAGAAAAGACAGCAACAAGGACTACACGTACTAGTAAAGACAGCAACAAGGACTACACGTACTAGTAAAGACAGCAACAAGGACTACACGTACTAGTAAAGACAGCAACAAGGACTACACGTACTAGTAAAGACAGCAACAAGGACTACACGTACTAGTAAAGACAACAAGAAGGACTACACGTACTAGTAAAGACAGCAACAAGGACTACACGTACTAGTAAAGACAGCAACAAGGACTACACGTACTAGTAAAGACAGCAACAAGGGCTACACGTACTAGTAAAGACAGCAACAAGGACTACACGTACTAGTAAAGACAGCAACAAGGACTACACGTACTAGTAAAGACAGCAACAAGGACTACACGTACTAGTAAAGACACCAACAAGGACTACACGTACAAGTATCAGAAAAGACAGCAACAAGGACTACACGTACTAGTAAAGACAGCAACAAGGACTACACGTACTAGTAAAGACAGCAACAAGGACTACACGTACTAGTATCAGTAAAGACAGCAACAAGGACTACACGTACTAGTATCAGTAAAGACAGCAACAAGGACTACACGTACTAGTATCAGTAAAGACAGCAACAAGGACTACACGTACTAGTATCAGTAAAGACAGCAACAAGGACTACACGTACTAGTATCAGTAAAGACAGCAACAAGGACTACACGTACTAGTATCAGTAAAGACAGCAACAAGGACTACACGTACTAGTAAAGACAGCAACAAGGACTACACGTACTAGTACAGACAGCAACAAGGACTACACGTATAGTAAAGACACACACAAGGACTACACGTAGTATAAAGACAGCAACAAGGACTACACGTACTAGTAAAGACAGCAACAAGGACTACACTATAGTAAAGACAGCAACAAGGACTACACGTACTAGTAAAGACAACAACAAGGACTACACGTACTAGTAAAGACAGCAACAAGGACTACACGTACTAGTATCAGTAAAGACAGCAACAAGGACTACACGTACTAGTATCAGTAAAGACAGCAACAATGACTAACGTACTAGTATCAGAAAGACAGCAACAAGGACTACACGTACTAGTATCAGTAAAGACAGCAACAAGGACTACACGTACTAGTATCAGCAAAGACAGCAACAAGGACTACACGTACTAGTATCAGTAAAGACAGCAACAAGGACTACACGTACTAGTAAAGACAACAACAAGGACTACACGTACTAGTAAAGACAGCAACAAGGACTACCTACAGTAAGACAGCAAAAGGATAACACTAGTAAAGACAACAACAAGGACTACACGTACTAGTAAAGACAGCAACAAGGACTACACGTACTAGTATCAGCAAAGACAGCAACAAGGACTACACGTACTAGTATCAACAAAGACAGCAACAAGGACTACACTACTAGTATCAACAAGACAGCAACAAGGACTACACGTACTAGTATCATACAAAGACAGCAACAAGGACTACACGTACTAGTATCAACAAAGACAGCAACAAGGACTACACGTACTAGTATCAACAATGACAGCAACAAGGACTACACGTACTAGTATCAACAAAGACAGCAACAAGGACTACACGTACTAGTATCAACAAAGACAGCAACAAGGACTACACGTACTAGTATCAACAAATGACAGCAACAAGGACTACACGTACTAGTATCAACAATGACAGCAACAAGGACTACACGTACTAGTATCAACAATGACAGCAACAAGGACTACACGTACTAGTATCAACAATGACAGCAACAAGGAGTACAGCAGGGCATGATAGATGTATTAGTGCAGACTCTGCCACGTAGGTGTGTGTATATGTACAGGGAAATTCGTGTGAGAATCGTATTTTGTAAATGGAAAGTAATATTAGTGTAAATAGCAGAATCTGTAAAAGAATAATAACATGTAATGTTTGTGAAACTGATGGTAGGAATGGTCTATTTTCAAAACACTGGTGAAGCCTAGGAAATAAAATATAAACACATCATATAAACATATCATATAAACACATGTGTGTGTGTGTGTGTGTGACTAAACACACACACACTCACACACACACACATCGACACACACACAACTCGAACACAATCAAAACACACACTCGACACACACACACTCGACACACACCACTCAACACACTCAACACACACACACACTCAACACAGGCCCCCATTCTGATACGTCTCCTACCAACAGACGTTGTTTCATTCCTCTCAGGTATTCCCTGATCCATTTACTTTCCCTCCTATTCCTGCCTGCTCCTCTAGCTTTTCAACCAGTCTCTTATGTGGTGCTGTAATGAAAGTCGTCTTTCAGTCCAAGAAGATGCAGTTACTCATCCCCCCCCCTCTCTCTCTTGTCTTACTTCTGTTACCTTGTCATATAATTCCAGTAGGTTTGTGATGCAGGATTTCCCTTCTTTGAAGCAGTGCTTGTTGTCAAGTATTAGTCTATTCCTTTCTAGGTGCTCCTCTACTCTTTTTCTGATAATCTTCTCCATAACTTTACATACAATACATGTCAGTGACATAAGTCTGTAATCTAGTGCAACCTGTCTGTCTCCTTTCTTAATAATCGGGACTACATTTGCTGTCTTCCACATTTCAGGCAGTTGCCCTGTTTCGATAAATTTACTGAAGATTGTTGTTAGTGGCACAGTCATCTGCTGCCTCTCTCAGTACCCATGGAGAGAGATTATCTGAGCCCGCCACCTTCGAGGTATCTAGTTCCCCTAGCAGTTTCTTCACCTCCTCCTCGGTTGTGTGCAGTGTGTCCAGCACTTGCTGGTGCACCCTACCACCTCGGGTTGCTGGGAGCCTCTGTGTCTCCACTGTGAATATCTCCCTGAATCTTGAGCTGAACTCTTCACATACTTCCCGGTCATTCCCTGTGAGCTTCCTTACTTCCTCAACCTAAGATTACCTGGTCCTTGACTGTTGTTTTTCTCCTACGTTGGCTGTATAACAACATTGGGTCAGATTTGGTTTTTGATGCTATTCATTCTCGAATTGACGCTGGGTTTCTCTCCTTATCAATTCATATTCATTTCTTGCTCTACGGCTGAACTCCCTGTTTTCTTGGGTCCTGTGTCTTCTATTTTTTGTATACTCTGGTACACTTGGCTTTGGCCTCTCCACACCTTTTGGAAAACCATGGACTCACTCTGGCCTTCCCGTTTTTTCTGTTGCCCCTTTGTACGAACTTCTCCACTGCTTCCCAGGGCTTTGTGGTCACGTGTTCCATCATTTCATTTACTGTTTTTTCCTCTAGCTTGCTTACCCACTGCACCTCATGTTGGAATTACCTCAAACTTGTGTAATCTCCTTTTTGGAATCTTGGCTTCTCCCATCCTTCTCGTGCTGCTTCACTCTCCATTGTTAACTCTACCATGTATTCGAAACTCTAGACCTCGTGATCATTAACGAATAGGCTCTTTTCGTGTGTGATATCCCCTAAGTCTGAATTGCTGAAGGTGAATACGAGGTCTAGACTTGCTGGTTTCATCGTCTTCTCTCTCTCTGGTTTGCCTCCTTAACATACTGGGAAATGAAGTTTTCCAGTACTGCCTCCAGCATCTTGGGTCTCCACGCCTCTGGTCACCCATGTAGCTCCACATTCTCCCAATTTCCTTATGGTTGAAATATCCCATGATGAGTAACGTTGCCCTGCTCATATGACCCTTCTGGCAACTCTGTTGCTCTCATCGTATTCCTGTATTGGCCTCCTGCTGTTCGGTGACGAGTTGTACATCACTGTGTGTGTGTGTGTGTGTGTGTGCGTTTTATGGAACAAACAACGATATTGTACATTTCTTGGCTATTCCCTGACGTCATTATTCCCCAAACCACCGAAAGAAGTTTGTGGTGACATGCTGTGTGTTGGAGAACAGATGATGTCTACCAATATATTAATGGGTTAGCAACTATGCTTTATCTGCCCGAAATGCTCTGCCTAACTGTGCTTTTTTGCATGTCCAGCTAAATTGTCACCCATCTTTGTACAAACATTGCATCATGCTGAAATCAATATTATTATTATTATTATTACTCATCTCAAGCTTAACAGTAGTAATACACAAATAACTCGTTGTGATTAATACACAAATAACCCGCTGTAATTAATATACAAATAACCCGCTTACGACGACGTGGACCAAGTCGGACCGAAACGTCGTGGTAAACTCCTCTTTCCTATGTGCGGGTTATTTGTGTATTGTTCCAGTCACGGTATTGTGCCTTTTTGTTCCTTAGCGGTGAGTAGTTCGGGTGGTCACCTTGGTCATCAGGGGAGTGAAGACTGGCCAGATCTGAGTCTTCACCCAGCTGTTGGCACGATGCTCTAGCCTCCTCGAAGGTCTTCTTCTCAGGGAAGAATTTGAGACAGTGTGCACCTGTAAGGAACGTTTTATTGGCCTTCGTGAGATCGTTAAACTACCTCTTGCAAATAAGTTTAATTTTGTCTACAAGTCTGAAAAATATCTAGACCTAAGACTAAGAAAAATTGGTATATAGACGTACCTGTATTTTAGCTTGTATGAAATTTTGCTTAAGTATCTTTTCCTGTTTCCTGAAGGTGTTTTTTCCCAACTCCATACAGCAGTGGTTCCCAAACTGGGGGTAAATTACCCCCTGGGGGTAATTTAACCATTTTGAGGGGGTAATGGAGGGGTGACAGAAAAAAAGTTATGAATTCTGAAAATCAAGAAAACAATGCGGTACCCAGTATGAGGATTATTGTTAACTTTGTCTTAGTATATAAAGTTGTAAAGTAAACCTATTATAAGTAAGTAATAAAGTTAAACCAAATAACAATAAACATCAAAAACTAATATACAGTATTAGAAAAGAAGAAATATATAGCTAAGTGTGTGGAAACCCAAAAGTATTTTGACAAGTATGCTTCAGGACAAAAGTCACTCAGTAGCCCAGATCGACCTGTCCAGTACACGTCACTCACTTCCTGAGCTGCCTCTATTTCACACTGTCAGTTCATCTGTGAGCATCAGCCGAGGTAGACATAAGCTGGTATGTATGTGTACTGCCCTGTGCAGTATATAGTTAGTATTTACCCACTGTTACTGTGAATTTGTAGCTATTATTAATTTTATATATAATGTATGTGTGGTTCTTACGTTTTCAATGGTTTTGCTAGGATTAGCAGAGTATGCGAGGCTGTATACGCTCACGTTTAGCCATATATATCAATAATAACAACATTTTGTGAAAGGGGTAACATGCTTTATGTGGCATGTTAAATTGGGTAACAAGCTGAAAAAGTTTGGGAACCACTGCCATACAGTAATAAATGCAGATTAACTACATGAAGGAGGTAGTGGCGGACCTACATTTTTGGGGCCCTGAAACTTGAACTGATATGGGGGGGCCCCTATGCAATCCCTTCTCATACAGTAGACTCAAAAATTTTAAGCAATGTGGACTAAAGTCGCTTCTGGAGCCCCTCCGGGATTAGGGGCCCTGAAACTTAAGCTTCATTAGTTTCATAGATCCGCCCCTGGATAGATGTCTAAGCTTTTATAGCTAATGGTTATAATCATATCCATGATTTTTAAAGAGGTGGACCAGTAAGCCAGTGAAAGTCCTCGGTCACATGACCAAAAGCTCCAGCTTTTGGTCATGTTTCCTGACAAACATTATACCTACCTACCCTGGAAAGAAGACAACTTACCATCTTGGATCCATCCAGAGGAGCATGTGCCCTGGGGAAGTATCGTGGTGATGGCAGGGGTGAGCGTGGCTCCGTAGGGACGCTTGCACACTCGACCCATCTGCTGGCCACAGTTCTTGTCACTCCAGAACCCTTGTTGACCAGCAGAAATAGACACACAATCCTCGGCTCCTAGAGTGAGATGGGGCTCAAGATCAACTGAAATGGATAACTAAAGTGTAATGAGCACTTGTTGATGCTCGGTAATAACCCACATGGAGACAGAAACTCGGAAGATTGATTGACTTGCGTATTTCGACCCCACTCTGGGATCCTCTTGGGCAGATACCTGAAATATTCATCCATTACCAAGTCATCAACTGCTGCATCTCTCCATGTCTTCTGCATCTCCATTACTAAATTTCTGGCCAGACTTATCGGCCTGATCTACTTGCACTAGTGGGCCCCGCCCATATGTAACCATGTTTCCAACTGCTGTATCTCTTCACTACTTCCACTGGCTCCAGTATAAATGCTCCGTCCTCATACCTCTCAATTAGATTGATAAAACGTGATGCTCAGGCAAAAAAAAACATCTTTGTGAGGCTACCCAAGAGTTGTGAGCGTCTGATTTATCAAATTGGGTGTCATAACAAACCACGGAACGGGTGGGGTTTCAATCCATGGCGCGAGGGAGTGGTAAAACGCCAGGACAGCATGTAAGCCACTGGCCAGTGGCTTACGCGCTGCCCTACAATTTTACGACTGACTTACCATGAGTTCAACCCCCACTCTTTCCATGGTTTGTTTACAATTGTGTAATTACGATTTAGTGAGTCATGATAGCTGTCAAGGTTGAGGGACTGATCACCTTAAAATTATTGCTGCTGTATCCAATATTATATTCGACTGAAGAAGCCTGCTATGCAGGTTAATCATTTCGGTAATAAAGACAACAAAATATTTCACATTTGTCTTATCATCAAATTCAGAAAAGTGAAAGCAAGATTTACGTGGGAGAAATCACCAGGAGCTTAAGTGAACGTTTTACTGAGTATAAATTCTCAGCCAAAACTGATATCAGGATCAATGGGTCAAGCGAAGGAATTTATATATAACCATCGAATGAGATTTCCCCGTTCAAGAACAATAATTTAATGGAAAATACTACGTAACAGCAAACACAGTTACACTGTACCAAGGAAACTCTCAAGTGGGAAAAACTTGTTGAGATACAGGTACTGAAACTTGCTGAGATACAGGTATTGAAACTTGTTGAGATACAGGTATTGAAACTTGTTGAGATACAGGTACTGAAACTTGTTGAGATACAGGTATTGAAACTTGTTGAGATGCAGGTATTGAAACTTGTTGAGATACAGGTATTGAAACTTGTTGAGATACAGGTATTGAAACTTGTTGAGATACAGGTATTGAAACTTGTTGAGATACAGGTACTGAAACTTGTTGAGATACAGGTATTGAAACTTGTTGAGATACAGGTATTGAAACTTGTTGAGATACAGGTATTGAAACTTGTTGAGATACAGGTATTGAAACTTGTTGAGATACAGGTATTGAAACTTGTTGAGATACAGGTATTGAAACTTGTTGAGATACAGGTATTGAAACTTGTTGAGATGCAGGTATTGAAACTTGTTGAGATACAGGTATTGAAACTTGTTGAGATACAGGTATTGAAACTTGTTGAGATACAGGTATTGAAACTTGTTGAGATACAGGTATTGAAACTTGTTGAGATACAGGTATTGAAACTTGTTGAGATACAGGTATTGAAACTTGTTGAGATACAGGTATTGAAACTTGTTGAGATACAGGTATTAAAAACTTGTTGAGATACAGGTATTGAAACTTGTTGAGATACAGGTATTGAAACTTGTTGAGATACAGGTATTGAAACTTGTTGAGATACAGGTATTGAAACTT